TGGCCCCCGTCGATACCGGGCGCTGGGCGTTGTCTGGGCTTGTCGCCGGGCGAGCTGGCCCCTCAGCCGGCCGCGGAGCGGAGGTGCGAAATCGAGGCGGCGCGGCCCCTGCGCGCAGCCTATCCGGCCGGCGCGCGCATGGTTCCGTAGCCCGTCTAGTGCCTCACTGACCAACTCCAGCGCTACGGTGTACGTGGCCGGTGTGGTACTGGGACTGGGCAGCCTTGGGGCGGGCGGAGACCGCCGTCTAGCGGTCGCACTAGTCTCTTTTCGTTGTTCGACCTGTTTGTTCGACCGTTGTTCGACCATGTTTTGAGCCTTAATTATTAATTCGGGTTTGTGTCTCTGAAGTCGATACTAGCGTCTATAACTTGCCACAAGCATGCTTTACAAAAGTCCTGCTGAGCGGGACTCGCAGAAATGCCGTCCGCGCGCGCTGTGAACCAGTGCCATGGTCGAACGTTGTTCGACGACCCGTCGAACACGTAGCGAAAGAGAGACCGCTTATAATCGTTCCCTGGCTCTCGAGTGGCTTTTGGTCTGAGCTGTAGGTAGCGGAGTAGGACTTAGGGCTGGGGGCTTGGGGCACCCACCCCCAAAGTCCATGCAGTTACTGAAGACGGCGGACCATGTGGGACGCATCGAGTATCGACCTCTACTGCTTACCCAGCCTTCGAGTGTATCCTGGCTGTGGTCCCACACCCACTGGTGTCCATCTCAGAGACCGCAGGAGGTCATGAGGGTCGATGGGAGTGCCAACCCCACATGCCAGTGAGGCAGAGCCAGAGGCGCGAGTCGGAACGCCGCGACCGTGGTTTGGTCTCCCAATTTTCCTAGATCCTACAATCGCTGTGAACCCAGCCACGTAACACTTTCGACGGGCGTCTTGATCGAAACCCTTGTGCGAGAAATCACGACCCCCACCGAGCCGCGCCGCGTGATTTCTCGCGCGCGGCTCACTCGCTACCACCGACACCCGTGCGTGTCACACTACTGCGGAGGGCAAGTGTTGTAGCCTGCACCGTTCCTTCCTGTTCCTGAGTAGTCGCTTCGCGTCATCAGCCAATCGTACGGTTGACACCGCTGCGAATTGACAGCAGGCAAGCAAGTCAAGCCGCAACACCACGTGCACGCCTGGTCTAAATACGACGACCGTGAATCTTTGGAAGCAACACACTCGGCCTCCGTTGTGATGAGATAGCAGCCACCGTAGCTTTCGTACAGGAGCGGCGGCGGAAAAGGCGGGAGGGAGGGCGGCGATGCTGGTGCTGGTGGTGCAGGCGGCGGCGTCGGCGGCGAGGGCGGCGAGGGCGGCGAGGGCGGCGGCGGCGTGGACGGCGGTGTCGGCGGAGTCGACGGCGGCATCATGCCCACAAACTTCCGAAGCGACTCGAACTGCTCGGTGACACTTCCACCGTCCGCTGTGACAAAGTCCGTCGCGTGCAGCTCGCCGCTGCACGTCAGCTTGCCGTCCCCCTCGCCGGTCAGGCGGGTCGCCGTCAGGTCGGGCGTGCGGCTGTTGAAGGAGAGCGTCGCTTTCGTCCCCGTGATGGCGAGCTCGGTCTCGTCGCCGGTCGCGGAGGAGAGCTGCCGCCGCGCCGCTGCCGGCGGGCGAGCCGCGGCCGCCGGCGGGTTGGGCGGGGCCGGCTTGTCGCGGAGCGCGCCGATCTTGGCGTCTTGCGCGGCGTTCTGAGCGACGCACTCCTCGACGCGCTCTTCAGCAGCCTGCATGCGCGCCTCCAGCGCCTTGAGGTCCTCGGCGCTCACCAGCTCGACCACCTCGCCGCCGGCCGACATCTGGACCTGCTTGTGGTCCGTCTTGCTCTTGCGCGCGGCGAGTAGCTCGGCGATCATCTCGTCCTTCTTCTTCATCTCCTCCTTGAAGTCAGCCAACGCCGCGTCCTTCTTCTGCGTCTCCTCCTCCTTCTTCTGGGTGTCGCTCTTGAACGCCGCGAACTCGGCCATGATGCTCTTCAACGTGACGGGAATCTCGGCGCTATCCGCAGCGGTGGAGACCTTGGCCGAGTCCTTCTGCGCCTCGCCCATGATCGTGTCGGCCGTCTCCGTCTCGTGCACGATGGCGTCTGAGCGCAAAGCCGCGAGCGGCGTCGGCAAGAGGTTGGTCGCGAGGAGCGTGGCGCCCGCGCCTGCGTGTGTACGAGAGGGACTGGGCGTCAGCATGGAAGGTGCTGAGCGGAGCAGCCGCTCCCTCCCCCCCCCACCCCTCTCCCTCCCACTCTCCACCTCTCCCTTCGCGGTCCGCACCGGCGGGCCAAAAGGTGAGGGCGGAGCAGCCCAAGGTCAGCACCGCTGCTAGGAGGACGGACACCCCCATCGTGCCCAAGGCGTCCTTGGGGGGGGGGGGGGGGGTT